CACACCCCCCCTACCCCCCCCCCTAACCCCCCCCCCTACCCCCCCCCTACCCCCCCCCACCCCCCCCCCCCACCCCCCCCCAACCCCCCCCCCCCTACCCCTACCCCCCCCCCTACCCAGCTGGCTTCAGCTCCTGTTTGGGTCTTAACGTTTCACAGAGGCTCAAGCACATCAACTTTTTTGGCATCCTTTGAGCTGACGAGCGCGTTTAAACCTTTCAACTATGCTCCAGCAGGGTCGGCGGCTTGAGCCGGAGGCTCTTAAATTTAGTTTAGGGCTTAGTTTAGGGTTTAGGGTTTAGGGCCCTAAAGCCCCTCCATGATCCCATTGAAACCCTCGAAGCCCTACCAAAAGCCTACACATCTTCCCCAAAGCCCAAAACCTGCTATTTGCTTAAGAACCCCCCCCCCACCAAACAAAAAAAAAAACTTCTATGGGCAATGTAGGGACTATAGGGTTTAGGGATGGGAACCCTGAACCCTAAACCCTAAACCCTAAACCCCAAACCCAAAACTCCAAACCCTAAACCCTAAACCCTAAACCCCAAACCCTAAACACTAAACCCTAAACCCTAAACACTAAACCCTCAACCCTAAACACTAAACCCTAAACACTAAACCCTAAACCCTAAACCCTAGACTCTAGACCCTAAACCCGTCCACAGTCAAGCCACAGTCGGCTACGGCTGCCCGTATTGAGCACCCGTACCTGAGCTCTGAACTCGACTCGCTTTTGAGGGCTATTTTTTGGGTTTAAACGTTTATATTTGTTTACCAGTTTTGCCTAAGGGTTTGTGTTTACGGCTTGGCCTACAGGGTCTTTAGGATCTTTTCGTGGGGTTTCAATCTGGTGTTTTAAACGGTTTCGGATCTAAGGTTTAGGGTTTTGTGTTCAGGGCTCTAAACCTAAGGGGAGGGCTCCCCAAAGCCCTGAAAAGGTTTGAGGTTTGTAGGTTTTAGGGCTGGGTTGACTGTTGAATAGGGTGTAGGGTTTGGGGTTTTGGGGGTTGCTGCGAGCCCTTCTCAATCAGACGGAGTGCGGGCCCTCCCCCGGCCAAAACGACACCTTCTCTTTGACTTAAACCCGAAAGCAAACTTCTAGACCCAAGAGTACTCGCAAAAAAAAAGTACACTTTTTGGCTTAAACAAGGCTTCTAAAGGAACCTAACGCCTAAAAAGGGCCTACTCCGCATCCTTCAATCATGGGTTCCCCTACTACCCCCGTCTCTACTACCCCCCCTAGGTTCCCCCGATAGTTAAGCCTAGTTAAGTAGCCCTAACCCTAAACCCTAAACCCTAAACCCCTAACCCCTGAACCCTAAACACTAAACCCTAGACCCTAAACACTCTATGGCGGGGGTAGTGGGGTAGAATAGAGGGGAGGGTAGTATAGGGGAACCTGGGGGGGGGGGGGGGTAGCCCTAACCCTAAACCCGAAACCCTAAACCCTAAACCCGAAACAGTAGTATAGGGGAACCCATGATTGAAGGCCTTCCATCCAAGTCACCACAACCTCCTTGCCCTCCACGAGCATCTCCTCCGGCCACGACCGCGATGGATGTGAAGAGCTAGATGCCGTCGGGTTTAGGGTTTAGGGTTTAGGGTCTAGAGTTTTAGGGTTTAGGGTTTAAGGTTTAGTGTTTAGGGTTTAAGGTTTAGGGTTTAGGGTTTAGGGTTTGGGGTTTAGGGTTTAGGGTTTACGTCTACCCTACGAAAAAAAGCCTCAGCCGTAAACCCTGAACGCTAACCCTGAACCCTAAACCCTAACCCTAAACCTTGATATCCCTATTCCTAAACCCTAAATTCTAAACCCTAAACCCTGAACCCCGAACCCCAAGCGCCGGACACCAAACCCTCAGCCGCGAAGACAAAGGTTTAGGCTTGCGAGGGGGAGGGCGGGTTTAGGGTTTCGGGATATCAAGGTTTAGATGTTTGGGCTCAGCTGTCCAGTACCTAGGGGTTTTAAAGGTTAACCTTTGGGAATAATAAGGGGAATATATTAACCCAAAAAGGTTAAAGGTTACCTACTCTACTACTAAGTGGGGGTTTAGCGAAGTTGTTTGCTCCAAAAGTCTTCCGGCTTGATTCTGAGATGAGGACCCGGTAGGTAGCTGCCTTTCGCACAGGAAACATCATGTGGGGCGAGGCCTGCTAGTCGTGAGCCCTAAACCCTGAACCCAAAACCAAAAAAACACAATAAACCCTAAACCCTAAACCCTAAACCCTAAACCCTAAACCCTAAACCCTAAACCCTAAACCCTAAACTCTGAACCGCAGCTTTGGGCTCATAGGGTTTAGGGCTCATTGGGCTTGGGGTTTAGGGCCTCGGGATGCTTGAGGTTTAGGGCTTTAGGGGTTTAGGGGTTTGGGGTTTAGGGTTTAGGGTTTAGGGCTAAGGGTTTTAGGGGTTAGGGCTTAGGGCTTACACGCTCAGGTGCTGGGATGGCCAGAAAGCACCTCGATGCAAAGCCTGGAAAGATCATGCGGTCAGTCCCCTGAACCCGAACTCCCTACATACAACAGAAATGAACCCTCAACCCTCAACCCTCAATACCCCAAATACCTTAAATACACTAAATACCTTAGATACCCTAAATACCCTAAATATCCTAAATGCCTCAAATACCTTAGATACCTTAAATACCCTAAATACCCTAAATCCCCTAAATACCCTAAATACCCTAAATACCCTAAATCCCCTAAATCCCCTAAATACCCTAAATACCTTAGATACCCTAAATACCCTAAATACCTTAGATACCCTGAATACCCTAAACACCCTAAATCCCCTAAATACCCTAAGTACCCTACGTACCTTAGATACCCTAAATACCCTAAATGCCTTAGATACCCTAAATACCCTAAATACCTTAGATACCCTAAATACCCTAAATACCCTACATACCCTAAATACCTTAGATACCCTAAATACCCTAAATACCTTAGATACCCTAAATACCCTAAATCCCCTAAGTACCTTAGATACCCTAAATACCCTAAATCCCCTAAATACCCTAAACCCTAAACCCTAAACCCTAGCCCTAAACACCCTGAGAACCTAAACCCTAAAACCCTAAACCCTAGCCCTAAACCCTAAACCCTAAACCCCAAACCAGTCCTTCTTCAGGGACCACTGCGACAGCGTCCCGCACCTGACCGGAGCTGGGGTTGGGGGGTCGGGGGCTTTGGGATGGGTTTAGGGTTTAGGGTTTAGGGTTTAGGGTTTAGGGTTTAGGGTTTAGGGTTTAGGGTTTAGGGTTTAGGGTTTAGGGTTTAGGGTTTAGGGTTTAGGGTTTAGGGTTTAGGGTTTAGGGTTTAGGGTTTAGTGTTTAGGGTTTAGGGTTTAGGGTTTAGGGTGCTGACTTTAGGCCGAAGGACCACTTAGGTTTAGTGCCCTTTCGCGGGGTTTAGGGGTCAGGGCTTAACCCGGTTGAGTGTTGAGGGGTCTCGGCTACCCTGCCCCAAGCCCAAATAAACCCTAAACCCTAAACCCTAAACCCTAAACCCCAACATCCCAATCCCAGGCCACGTCGCCTTGTGGAGTCGGTGAGCTGAACGCGCCACCGGGTTCCCCTTCAAGTAGGCTTGGGCAGTTTGGGGCTTAGGGTTTAGGGTTTAGGGTTTAGGGTCCATATAGGGGTTTCAGGGTTTTGGCTACACGGGGCTTAGGCTGTACTGGGTTTAGGTGAGGTTTCTCGGGGTTTTGGCTGATTTTCTTGGGGCTGAGAGCTCGTTGAGGGCTTAAGGATTTCAGGGTACAGGGCTTGGGGAGAGCAGGTTTCGGGCGCTCAGGCGCTGGTATCTTAAACCCGAACACCCCCAACTCTCCAAACGGCCCTTCAAACCCTACATCCCTGAGCCTAATGCCCCTAAACCCTAAACCCTAAAACCTAAACCCTAAACCGTACTTTAAGGTTTGAATTCCCAGCAAAACGGCCTCAACCCATAGGCAGCGCCCGAAGGATCCCTGAACCCTGTATAGCCACTAAAGCCTGCAACCCTCAACCCTCAACCCTAAAATCCTAAAACCCTAAAACCCTAAAACCCTAAAACCCTAAAACCCTAAAACCCTAAAACCCTAAAACCCTAAAATCCGAAAACCCTAAAACCCTAAAACCCTAAAACACTAAAACCCTAAAACCCTAAAACCCTAAAACCCTAAAACACTAAAACCCTAAAACCCTACAACCCTAAAACCCTAAAACCCTAAAAACCTTACACCCTAAAACCCTAAAACCCTAAAACCCTAACACCCTAAAACCCTAAACCCTAAAACCCTAAACCCTAAACCCTAAACCCTAAACCCTAAACCCTAAACTTCAGCCTAGGCAGAAACGCTCCCTGGAGCGACACAGTTCTAGGTCTTGGAGCCGGTCTTGGGGGGGTTTAGGGTTTAGGGTTTAGGGTTTAGGGTTTAGGGTATAGGGTTTAGGGTCACCCCAACACCAACCCCCGGACCCTAAAAGCCCTAAACCCTGAACCCCCCAACCCCCAAACCTTAAACCTCAAACCCTAAATCCCAAACCCTAAGCCCTAAACCCTATAAGCCCTAAACCCTAAACCCCAAACCCTAAACCCCAACCCCCAAACCCCAAACCCCAAACCCCAAACCCTAAACCCTAAACCCTATAAGCCCTAAACCCTAAACTACAAGCCCTCATGGGGTTGCTGGCCCGGTCACCCCGCCGGCTTCTGCATCATTCCTGTACGGAAGCTGCCGACCTGAGGCTTGAAAAGGGTTTAGGGTTTAGGTGGTAGTGCGTGAAGCATCCTGGCCGCTCAGGTGGAGACGTTGTTGCGTTACCGAGGCTGTCTTTTGTTCGAAAAAATCGAGGCGCGATCCGAGGGTCTAGGATTCAGACTTAGGCTGCCTAAGCTTTCTGGTCCCCGTAGGGTTCTGTATTTCACGTAGGTTATCAGCCGTAGTAGGTTCTAGGGCTGTGAGCTTTAAGATAGGCCTTTTCTTTAGGGTCCGGCACTTAGTGCGGGTGCTGTGACGCCATGGATTCCTTTACACGTCAGCGAAGGGGCTCTGGAGGAAGGGATATCGAGGTCCCTGCTGGAGCTTCTGAGCCAGATTATCAGGCAGCCTTGGGCCAAGAGGACAGCGAGCAACAGCCTGCACCTGTACGTCTAGGAGAAATGTCTCCGGGCATGTTGGAGCAGGGCGGGGTTCCGGCAGAGCCGGAGACGCCTGCCAACTTGTTTGTGGCAAGTCCTTTTCATTCTGAGAAGGTGAAATCAGAAGTGGAGCTTCTCAGATCGAGACCGGCGACGTTGGATGATGACGGAAGGCGTGCTGGAATCGATTACGATGAGGCAGCTCTTGGAGATTCGAGCTTTTTGAGTGGCGGCAGGGAACCGGACTATAGCTTAGCTGGCCATGGATCTCGTGGAGGAGCTCCTAAGCTGGCCCGAGTGGAGATAGCAGGCGAGCATGCTGTTGAGCAGTCTGGTGAAGCCGAGGAGCAAAAGCCTGGCATAGTTGAGGTGCAACCTGAGACTGGGCGAGGCTGGGAAATTACTGGCAAGGGTCGGGGCGCAAATCCGAGGGATGGATCCGCGAGCACTTTTGCTG